CAACAACAACAACAACAAGGAAAACATTAAGTCTTTAATTTTATGATTCTAGTATTTCATAATTTTAAAAATGTGTTGGGAATAGAAACTATAAAGTTACCTATGAACTAAATGTGGATCTTTTTATTTAGTCTCGAAGAAAGCAAGGAGAGTGAGATTAATTTATGTCAAGAATGTAAACATTCTTCAGTATATAAGAAAATCTGCATTGTTTTTGAGTAATAATTCAATTAAGGAGCTCTGGTGGCCTAGTGATTAAAAACTACACTGCAGTCCCAAAGGCATGCAGTTTGAATGTACCTGCTTGGCTGTGGGAGAAAGGACACTCTCCTCTCGAGCAATTTACTGCCTCCGCAAATCCGCAGGAGGGTCAGGTATGAGCTGGTTCTGACTCGTTGGAATGCCACCACCACGACCACGATTCAATCTTACAGTTTCCACTAGAATCCGTTTTGTTATTTATAATTAAAAATTACCACTTTAAAAAAAAGTAGCAGATGGGGACAAACTTAAAAAGAGCTGAAATTGGAATGCCTTCTGGAATGTATAAATAAAAAAATAAAACTATTTAATAAAAAAATGGAGAGTAAAGCTAGTCTTAAACCAAAGAGAAACAAGCAGCCACACTGATTAAAATCTACATACAACTGTTTACACTATGAATAACATGTGGTAACTACACAACAGTCCAACTCCCAGGAACCTTCTTCAGTTCATCAATGGTTCCTATTACTTTTATTCTTATCACCTTTATCTCTGCTTTATGTTTTTATAAGCACTGAAAAGAAATGTTTTAAAGTCATTAATGATCTGTATCATTGCAAAACTCTCTTTCTAGAGTCCTTTATCTTCTCTGTGTTGTTGTTATGTGCTGTGACTCCTCTCTACTATACTGGATTAGCCACAGCTCTCTTGATCACCACTACTTCACCGAGCTTCTATAAAGCAGCACTGTTTCTTATTATTACTTTTATAGCTAACAAGTTGTCTCATGTACTTCTTTCTCCTGTTCTATTCACAATCTTTAAAACTCTGCTGTGAACTGACTTTCCTTATTATTTGTCTTCCAGTATTAAATTTTCATTATAATTTTTCATAGAGGCTAAGGCATCAATTACCTAGCTAATAAGGTGTGTTTTTTTTTTTTTTGCGTGCATTTTAAATCAAGTTTTAAGAAGGCATTTTCTTGAATATACAATTGAATCACAGTTGCACACTCAAGAAAATACGAACTGGGTGAAATTACTATTCCTTATTTTAAAATAATTCGAAAGTTCTCCATTAGACTTTTTTGTTGCTTGGTGCAATTACGTTAAGTCTGTCAATAATACGTTGATGATGGGAAACGATGTAATTCAGTAACTATTTATCTACTCAGATATTTCATTTAAAAGAAAATTTAAAAAGCAACAATAACAAGGAGTACCAATTTGGTTTATTCTCTTTTAACTTTAGTATCACCTTGGGAGTATTCTTACAGCCAAAGGATGAAGGTTAAAAGGATGGCTTGGAACTAGAAACAAGCAGTTCAAGCCAGCTAGATTAATTGGCTAGTTTTATGGCCATAAGCAATGGAAAAGAAAATGGGTCAGAAGTACCACTGAGTACTATGCCAAGTCCTTTACTCAAACAATGATTGGAGAGCAATGTTTAAAATGGAACAGAATATAATAGAAAAGATAAAATGAACTAGAAATATAACACAGATATGTAAGAAACTTGGTAGAAACAGTTTAAATAAAAGAAAATGCCAAAAATCGAAGTTCCTGCACGTACATATGTAAATACATGTGTGCGCGTGCACACACACAAATATTTATATATAAAAATTTGCTCTCAGAAAGTAAAAATCACCTAGAAGATAATCAGTATTTAAATGAAAATATAGCAGAAATATGCCCTTTTAATATAGGATATTCTCTTGCTGAAGATATTTTGGAGGGTGAGAAAATGCCAGTAAAAAAAAAAAAAAAAATTGGAGGTAGAATTAATCAGTAAAATAACTTCTGCCCAGAAAAGTGGTCTGAGAAAAACGTAGGAAGGATTCATGTCACAGTTAAAAAAAAAACAAAACACACACATGAAAAACTTTACATATGATGTATATCAGCTATTTTGCCAACTGAATTTTTACCACAAAAGATAAGGCCAGGACACATAACTGCTTTAAAAGAATTGGCGGATGTGAGTTCTAACTTGGGAGAGGATGTTTGGTGATTTTGATGACCCTACAAGAAATAAGTAATTCTAGGGAGCTCTGGTGGCCTAGTGGCAAGAAGCTGTACTGCAATCCCAGAGGCACACGGTTCAAATCCACCAGAAGCTCTGCCAGGGAAGGAGGGAAATTTTCCCTCCTGTGCCAGTTAGATCTGATTTGACGATACATGCACAATAAATAAATTTAAAAAAAAAGTTTAAAAAAAAAAGAAATAAGTAATTCTCTGGAAAAAAACCAACACAGAAGACTTGGATACATACTTCACAGAGGCTGCTTTTTAAACAAACTGAAGGTTTGAGACAACCCTGTGTTGAGCAAGCACACAGATGTTATCAATTATACCAATTTTATGTGTTGAAAAATTTCATGTCTCAAGGTCACATCTGGGTAATTCCTGGAATATTTAAAACAATCCGTAATACTAATGCACACTTAATAACTACAGTATAGTAGAAACATAACCTTAGTTTGTACTGGGAAACAAACAAACAATTTGTTCAACTTACTATACTGCTGTAGTTTGGGAACAAATCTTCACTATCTCCAAGATAAACCAGGATATTCACCTCTACGAAATGATCAATAATTATCAACAGAAAATAATCCATAAATCAACTTGTCAAACACCATACCTTCTTCGCCTTGAACAGGTTCTTCTAATAACAACTCTGTCATACACTCCCAGTCTTTCAAAAGTTCTTGAGAGCTTTCCCATAAACTGTCCACCAAGTAGGCTGCATGTTCATGTAACTAAAAATACAAAGAAATTATGCTGAAAGAATATTTAAGAAATAAAGCATCAATAATATTGAGTTAGCAAGCAGTTTTCTCCTCATAATTAAATGACTTGATCTCAATGACTACAAGAGGCACTTAGGGAATAATACAGTTACTTGTGTTCCACCATCAATAATCTAGAGGTAATGTTCTGAATCAATTTTTTAGACAATTACTACAGGAATGGCGAATGACATCCTACTGAGAGCTCTGGGGAGCCGTGTTGGCTTAATGGAAAAAAGGTGTGCTGTCCAGTGGCAGAGTCTGGAGACAACAGGCAGACATGGCACCTCGTAAGGAAGGAAAAAAAGGAAGAGCAGATCATCAGCCTTGGACCTCAGGTGGCTGAAGGAGAGAATGTCTTTGTGTCTGCCACATTTCTGCATCCTTCAAGGACACTTTCGTTCATCTGCCGTGTGACAGGTGGTATGAAGGTGAAGGCTGACTGTATGCTGCCGTGTTGGCTGCCCAGGATGTGGCACAGAGGTGCAAGGAGCTGGGCATCACTGCTTTACACATTAAACTTCGTGCTACAGGAGGAAATAGAAATAAGACCCCTCGACCTGGAGCCCAATCTGCCCTCAGAGCCCTTGCCCATTCAGGAATGAAGATTGGACAGATTGAGGATGTTCACCCCTATGCCTTTTGACAGCACCTGCAGGAAGGATGGTCACCGTGGATGTATATCTGTGAACAGGATTCATCAAATTATTGTTTTCTGTTAATAAATTCCTTCGTGTGTACACACACACACACACACACACACACGTGTGCTGTCAACCCAAAGGCCAATGGTTAGGATACATGAGCTGCTACGTGGGTGAAGGATGGGCAATTTACTGACCCTAAAAACTCACTGGAGTGTCAGATATGAGTCAGATCCAACTTGATAATCAAAAGTATAACCACATTATTCATAAAAGTGCAAAGAGAGTAAAGTCAGTTAGAATTCCTAAAATAAGAAGTTGAATTTCGGTTACTTTTCCCTAATCCTGTTTGTTATCTCCCCTAAACTCCCCGAATGTGAGACACAGGGATTAAAAAAGGAAAAAGATTTGTAGAAGGTCCCATCCATCATTTTATTCTTTCCTGGTCGTGCATTTTTATGATTGAAAACCTGTATTTCTCCCACAGATTTCTTGGTGCTGTTAAATGCTGTCAAATTGGAACAAACTCACAGCCGACCTCCAGCAAGTCTGCAGAGGCAGTAAATTGCAGGAGATGTGATTGCATATCTTTCTCCTGTGGAGAAGTAGTGCATCTGAGCCACAGTCCTTCAAGTTGGAGCACAGCTCCTTCCCATCATATGCCATACACCAGGACTTCTAAATCTGTTCCTATTTTATATTTTATGTTCTTCATGGTTTTTGGGTTTGCCTCTAGGTCTCTAACCTATTTTGGGTTGGTTTGATGTGAGATTTGAGATGTGGATCCTGTCTCAGTCTTCGGGAGGTACACCAGCACCATTTGTTAAAGACACTATCAGTTCCCCATTTAATAAGTTTTGTTTATTTGTTGAGTTATTAACTGACCATAGAGAGACGGGCTGATTTCAGGGTTTCCAATTCTGTCCCACTGGTCAATGTGCCTACTGGTATACTAATAACAAATGTTGTGTACACCACAAACCTTTTCCAATAGACTGAAAAGCAAGCCCAGGGGGGAAAATCATTTGGCAACATTTCAGACAAGGATCTCACAGCTAAAGTTTACAGAATATCACAGTGTCTCCAGAGGAAAAAGACTGATGACCCAATTACAAAATAGGCAAAAGACAAAGGAGGACACCTAAAGAGCCAACAAACACGTGAAGAAATGTTCAAACTTACTAGCAATCAGAGATGCAAATCAAAAGGCAAATAAGACAGCATCTCACCCCAGTAACAAAGTTTAACAGGACAATAAATGGTTGTGAGAATGTAGAGAGATTGGAACTCTCATTCACTACTAGTGGGATTGTAAAATTGTATAACCACTAGGAAAGGCAGTTTGGCGTTTCTGCAAAATTCTCAACATAGAATTCCCGTATGACCAGGTAATCCACTGCTAAAAATATAGTCCAAGGAAACCATGGCTGAAACACAGAGATATGGACACTACATTTATAGCAGCATTATTCAGTTAAGTACACGATGTTCAGAGCAGCATTATTCAGTTAAGTGCACTACATTCATAGCAGCATTATACAGAATAGCAAGTAAATGAAAACAACTCATCATCAACAAATGAATGGATAGAGGAAACCATAGTATACATGCACAATGGAATACTAGGCAGCATTAAAGAACGAATAAGCATAAAATATGACACAATGTGGAAGAATGTAGGGAACATAGGTTGAATGAGACAATTTAGTCACAAAAGGGCAAATGCTTCATAAGATCGTTCTTGTGAAAAGAGACATACAACTGAGCAATATATGTATAAATGTTCCAAAGGGGAAAGGGGAAAGAGGTGAAAAATAGTGGAAGTGATAAAACCAGCAAAACCCAGAAGTTAGGGGTTGGATGAAGGTGGGAAGAAATGGGAAAAACACAATGGAGATGTTTAAAGGCACAGCTCAATAGTAAATAATTATATAAAACACAACATAAATGATGATTGTATGCAAACTAATTTTAAGGAAAAAGAAGGAGGAAATAAGCAAGAAGTGTACTACTTCATCCCAGCCCTGAACAGTAGCAACCAGTCTGTAAGTACTTCATGTCCATTTCATCTTGTTGAAGGCCTAAAACTGTCAAGGCAAGTTTGTCACAGTACATTTCGGTATCTCTCCTCTTTTTTTAACCATTCATGTTTTATAAATACTTTACACAACAATTTTTATCATCTGTCAGTCAGTAAGCTCTGAAGAACACAGCTTCCCAAAACATAAGGAAAGTGGCCAACTGCGGATATTATTCTAGTGTCTAAATGCTGTTCACTAAGCACTTTTCCATCCAAACCAGAAGAGTCACTTACTGGTTATTTACTGGTACCTTGGCACATCTGGTACTTGACACATCTCCCTCACTCCTAATCTTATCATTCTTAACTTCAGTATGCATTTGAATGACCGCATCAATATTCTGTCATCTGATCTCCTTAATTAATTTCATTTCCACTGCATTTCAAATCCTTTGATTCCTGAAATGCATTACGAAAACCACATACATGCACAAATCTCACACACTTTTCCAGTCATTTATGGAAAAACCAAGTTAGATAATAGTGATTAGAATCAGTATGTGGTAAGAAGAGGGGCAAATATTTACAGCAAAGTATTGTCAAGCATTGCAAACTGTTATCTTGAAAAATGATTCCTGCAAAATCAATAAATGTCTCACCGTGGACACAAGTGCAACACAACATTTTGTTAACAAAGAATGTAAATCAGCAAGAAAAACAACAAAAGAGTATGCTCCAAAATTGTCATTATTAAAATCTACGATGAAAACACAGTCTACAAAGATAATATAGCTACATTCTACTCTGACGGAGTAGTGATTGGGGTGTTAAAAGGCTTGGGAGTTGCTATCTAAGGGGCAATAAGTGGTCTTTTCCTACCTGGAGCAAAGAAGGAAGAAAAGCAAAGATATATAGGAACAATTAGTACAAGGGCCTACTGGACCATGTTGTTGTCTACCATCGAGTTGGAACCAACCCAAAGCTGACCTTCTGGCAGGTTTTCAGAGGCAGTTAATTGAATGGGACTGTACCAGTACCATGCTGTTTTGGTTATTACTGCTGTGTAGTAGGTTTTGAGGTCAAGGAATGCTATGCCAACCACTTCAGATTTTTCAAAAGTGCTTAGCTTATTCAAGGCTTCTTTCCACTCCATATAAACTTGACAATTTCCCTTTTGATCTCCTTGAAAAATGAGTATGGCATCTGTATTGGGACTGCATTGAACATGTAGATTGCCTTTGGTACAACTGTAATTTTCACAATACTGAGTCTTCCTATCCATGAACAGGGCACATTTCCCCATTTCTTTAGGCCTTTTATTGTGTCTTGCAGAAATGTTTTGTAGTTTTCTTTTTACAAGTCTTTTGTGTCTCTAGTTAGGTTTCAGAGAACTACCAGAAGTCCAGGCTGGTTTCAGAAGGGGTCGTGGTACTAGAGATATTGTAGCTGATGTTAGATGGATCTTGGCTGAAAGCAGGGAATACCAGAGGAATGTCTATCTGTGTTTCATTGACTATGCAAAGGCATTTGACTGTGTAGATCATAACAAACTGTGGCTGACTCTGAGAAGAATGGGAATCCCAGAACACTTGATCGTTCTAATGTGAAACTTATATTTGGACCAGGAGGCAGTCGTCAGAACAGAGCAAGGGAACACTGCATGGTTCAAAATTGGGAAGGGCGTACGCCAGGGATGCATCCTATCTCCATACCTTTTCAACCTATATGCAGAACAGATTATCCGGGAGGCTGGGCTCTATGAGGAGAAATGTGGGGTCAAGATTGGTGGACGAATTATCAACAATCTGTGTTATGTGGATGACACAACCCTGCTTGCTGAAACTGAAGAGGACCTGAAGCGCCTGCTGCAGAGTGTCAAGGACTGCAGCCTCCAATATGGATTGAGGCTCAATGTCAAGAAGACAAAGATTCTCACCACTGGACCAATCGGCAGCATCAGGATGGATGGTGAAGAGATTCAGATTGTACACAGCTTTAGTTTGCTTGGCTCCATAGTCAACAGTCTTGGCACCAGCAGCCAGGAAATTAAAAGGCGCATTGCCATGGGAAAGTCTGCTGTTAGGGACCTCTCCAAAGTGCTGAAGAGCAATGGTGTCTCTCTGGAGACTAAGGTGCGTCTGATACAGGCCATGGTCTTCGCAATCACCTGTTATGCATCAGAGAGTTGGACAATGACCAAGGAGGATAGAAGGAGAATTGATGCCTCCGAGCTGTGGTGCTGAAGAAGAGTATTGAGAATACCATGGACTGCTAGGAAAACAAACAGATTTGTCCTAGAAAGGGTT